ACAACAACAACAACAACAACAACAACAACAACAATATGTAGCTTTTCAGACTGGGTTCTTTCATTTAACAATATGCATTTAAGGTTTCTCCTGTGTTTTTGTGGCATGATCGTTCTTTTGTTGCTTAATAATATTCCATTGTATAGATATACCAGTTTATCCATTGACCTATTAAAGGGCATATTGGTTGCTTCCAATTTTTCCATTTGTTTTTTTGGTTCTGCATTTATGTATCTATATTTGCATTTATGTATATTTATATACATTTTCAGGGAATGCAGTGGCTCCATATGATAAGCACTGGACTGCAAAATACAAGGTCTGTGGTTTGAGCCTGCCAGCCACTCCGCCAGAGAAACATGAGACTTTGTGCTTCCGCAAAGATTTAAAAAAGCCTCAGAAACCCTATACAGGGTCGCTATGAGTCGGAAGCAATTCAAAGGCACTAACAACAGTAACAATATGCATTTCCACAAGAAGTCTGGCCTGCGTCTGACTTTTTTGGCTTGCCTTTCCACTCTTTATAGAAGGCAGCTTTTCTTCTTTCATGCAAGGAACCCTTGCGGCATGATTTAAGTGCTTGGTTGCTAACTAACAAGTCGATGATTCAACCAACAAACCACTCTGCAGGAAAAAGATCTGATCCTGTAAAGACATATAGTTTTGGATACCCTAGGGTCTGTTCCATAAGGTCACTGAGTAGAAGGCTTGTTGTTGTTAAGTGCCATCGAGTCGAATCAGACCGATAGCGACCCTGTACAGGGTTTCCGAGGCTGTAAATCTTTACGGGAGCAGAATGCCTCATCTTTCTCCCGCGGAGCAGCTGGTAGTTTCGAACTGCTGGCCTTAAGGTTCGCAGCCCGATTCGTAACCATTACGCTACCAGAGCTCCTTGAGAGTAGAAGGCAGTGGGTCTATTATTTTGTTTTCCTTTCTAGTAAGGAATCGGGCCTGTAAGGAGTCTTGGTGTGGCACTGTGGGTTAATGTTGGTTTGCAAAGTTGGTTTGCACCTCAAAGTCGGCGGTTCAAGCTCACCAGCAGCTCCTCGGAAACAATACGTAGGGTTGCTTTGGGTCTGAACCAACTCCACCGCAATAAGGAATCAGACAGTAACCAACAGATGGCGCTGCAGCAAAAGCAGCCGAGTCCTTGACAAAGGCTGTAGGCTTGAAAAACAAAGGAAATCCCACTTTCACTGGGATCCTAAGAGAGTAGCCTGAGTATTTGTGTAATTAAGGATTTCAATTTACAAAATGGAATCTGTGGTTAATATTCTCCACATTACTCTCTACCATTAGTCTGACAACGTGACTTCTTTAGAGAAGTGCAATCCAGATATTGCCCATTTTTGAGGGGTGGTCATGTGCCGTGGAGTCAAAATGACCTAAATAATGGAAACTTACATGATAATTTAAGGAAAACAAAATACCTACAAATTGTCAACGATCTGAATGCTTCCCGACAATGTGGAGCTTTAGGATCTGAAATATGCAACTTGTTTTGTTTCTAAAGTTCCTTATTTCATTTTGGAAATTCGTAAGCGGAGTCAAGGCCCAGATACCTAGCAAGAGCGAAGAGCAACCGCAAGAGTCGCTTCTTGCCCTCTAGTGTGGCGCTTTCTTAAGTGGATGTCAGGAAAGGAAACTTCTCTGTGTCACACACACACAGTCACGCAAAGAGAAGACAGAAGGCAAAACTGCAAGTCGTAGCCTTCTCAAATCAATCGAACATGTCTGGTTACGCCCAAGCACTAACTCTGAAAAGGAACCCGAAATACACCAGGTTACCTTGGCCACAAAGGACGCCTCGCGGACTACGCTCTGTCTACGTAAACACGCACGCACCATCTACGCATGCGCCTGACGCCCCCCCCCCCGCGCACGCGCACGCGCACACACACACGCACGCACACGCACGCACACACACACACACACACACACACACACACACACACACACACACACACACACACACACACACACACACACATCGGCAATCGGCTAGCCACGCCTGATTGCAATCGACGCTCGCCTCTCGGCCTTTGCGCTTGCGTACTACGGCTATTGCCCGTCGCCGCGTCCCGGATCGGGAAGTGTCAAGCGGGAACCGACTTCCCCAGCCTTCGTTTCGCCGCCACTACCGCTAACTCCAGAACCCCGAAAAGGCCTGGGCCCAAACGCCATGACGAACGGTGAGAGCCGGTGTCCAGCGCGGAGAATGGGAGTGAGGGTCGAAGTGAAACGTGGCGGGCGGGGCCGAGACTGACGTGTCTGTTCTCCCCGCCCCCTCCCGACCCGGCCCCTCTGGGCCTCAGGACGCCCCTAACTCCTGCACCCTGTGCCCCTCAGCAGGTTTCCCTATCCCTTGCCCATCTAGCACTTTCACTGCCTCATGTGCTCACACCCCTTGCCTTCGGTCCCGACTCGTTGTTTTTCATTCTCTTCCTCTTCCTAGAAGTTCGTTTTGGCCCTCTTGGGGGCGGCCAAGGTGGACTACTGCGTTAATCCTGGGGAAGAATACCCTCCTAAATTCGCTTCTGACAGTCGAGTCGTTGGGACCAGCCAGAAGTCACATGATCTTAAGCCCCGCAAATTTAAGGGATGAACGTTGTTGCACTTACGTGTTGTCAAGTCGGTACCGGCCCATAGTGGCCCTGTAAAGGCTTTCTAAGGAGCAGCTGGTGAGCTTGAATCGCCGACCTTGTGGCTCAAGCCGACTTTGCAGTCCAGCACATTAACCCACAGCGCCACACCAGGACTCCTCGGGATGAATGTGTAGACCCTAAATGGATTTTTCTTTTTGAAGTATAAAAAAATACTATGAAGTCTTTTATTGTTGGTTTCTATAGTACTGGCCCTGGTGTGGCGCTGTGGGTTAATGCGCCAGACTGCAAAGCCGTTTGAACTGCACGGTCGGCAGTTTAAGCTCACCATCTGCTCCTCGGAAACCCTATACAGGGTCGCTATGGGTTGGAACCGACTCGAAGGCACTTAACAACAGCAACAACATAGTACTGGACCGGTGATCCCAACTAAAGACGCTCGCTATTATTGCTAAAATTGGATTTAGGAAGTTGCCATCCTGTTTACCTGACCTAATTTTCCAGGCCGCTTCAGACATTTTATAGACAAATTCCAGAAAAGGAAGTAGAACCTTTATGGTCTTTGCTTTAGAGTCAACCTTTTTAGGAAAGCAAAAAAGAGAATTATCTTTTAGGCAATACAGTTGAAGGTACAGGATAGCATTTCTCTCAAAGTAATTAAGACTCACATTTCACTTCCTTGTGCATTTTGGCATTGCCTGTAAAAACTTCTCTGAGAAAGAGAGTAGCACATAAAAGTGTCATTGATCACTACTTGTTTTTAACTATAAAATACTTGTTAAAAGCTGTCAAGTGGATTCTGACCCATAGCGACCCTGTATAGGGTTTTTAAGGAGTGGCTGGTGAGTTTGAATCGTGACCTTGTGCAGTTCAGTGCTTATCTACAGCACCACAACTTAGTGTTTTAGTATACTGGGCCATTTCTTCTGGGACACCAAACTGCAGGATAGTGTACTAGAGGGGGTAGTTTTTGCTAAGTGCTGATGAGTTGGTTCTGACTCATAACGAGCCAGTATACAGTTTCTGAGGAGCGGCTGGTGAGTTTGAACCACTGACTTTGCAGTTCAAACACCATGCAGTCCAGTGCTTATCCTATAGCACCACACCAGAACTCCAAAGAAGATGATAAAGTGGCAAATATAAGTTCTATAAAATAATCTGTTTGAGCTTCTTAGACAGTTACAGATTTGACGATAAAAAATAATCATAGCAACAATTGTGAGGTTGACCCAGGACCGGGCAGTTTTCATTCTGTTGTACATGGGGTTGCTATGATTTGGTATCCACTCAGGAGCACCTAATAATAACAACAACTTTTTTTTTATTATTTAAATAACAAGAACCTGTCATTTTGGCAGAAATTTTGGTTTGCAAGTAGAGTATTCATAAAGTGTAAGATATGTATAGGAAAATTGTAGTCGTATGGATCCTTATGCTTGCAATTTTTTTAACTTTACTTTTTGCCTTAACATACTCAACAGCAGATGCAGATCTGACAGACTTGGCTAAATATCTAGCTTGACTTCTTTTTTGATCACTTGAGTGATTTATAATAAGAACATGTTTAATTCTCCCTGCTCAGCCTGCAAACATTCTTACAGTTCTTTCAGCCTACTGCCAACACTAGCCACTCCTGGCAAGCTGATTCCATAGAAACTACCAGAATTAATTGTTTTTGAAAGAGGAGGAAAGGGGGCACTGAAGTCGGTTTAAGGGAGACGTCTACAAGCAATTTTGGAGATGAATCAGATAACCTTGTGTGTGCCAGCAACTTGGCTCTCTCTTGTTGAGGGTTGGCGCTACTAATTAAGGTTATTGTGTTTATATCATACTCTGCCCTCAGTGTTCTCAGGTGGGATCACCTGTCCCAGACTAGATCAGTACCAAAGGTTTTGTTTTCTTTCTATAACAGTGTACTCCTTGGATGGTATTCTGGTGTTTGGTTTACTCTTCGTATGCACCTGTGCCTACTTCAAGAAAGTACCTCGTCTTAAATCCTGGCTGTTATCAGAGAAGAAGGGTGTTTGGGGTGTGTTTTACAAAGGTAAGTTCATAACCTTGACAAGGAGAGATTTCCAATTTTGTACAGTGAGGTGCGATACGGTCAAGGACAAACAAAGATGGGCCAGCATTGCATTTGGGTCCACTTTTAAAGAAGATCCCTGAGCTTGAGCCTGAGACTCTGTAAAACTAATTGTTTCCTAAAGTTGAGAGGAAAGGTAAATGTTAAGATTTGCTGTTATTTTTAAAGAGTAATTGTTTATTTTAGTACCCAGGTAATTTTATTATTCTCTATAGATTGAAAATACAAGGGAGCTTCCAAAAGTTCGTGGAAATATTCTACTATCTTTCAATTCCATTTTTACATGAATTTTTTGGAGCCCCCTTGCATATAAGTGAAAGAGTTTTAATCTGGACTACAATGTGTTGGAAGGAATATTTTCTCAGTGAAAAGTTTTTCTGATTTTCTGCAAAGAGTAACTTGGAATCTTCTTAATGTTTTGACTTAATCCGTTCTTTTTCTTTTTTTTACTTTTTATTTTGGATACCTTCAGCTGGAATCCTACCAACCTAAGTCTTTTTCAATATTGAATGAGATAATAAATAAACATTATGTTTACCGAAGAACCTAGAGCTTCAGAGTAATATTTGAATACATTCCTGAGCCCTTGAGACTCTTTATTTGTGACAGATCTCTTCATCTGTGACTTAAGATTTCAAAAAGTGAGGACTTTTATGAAGGACAGACTGATTTTTCTCTTTTTACTTTTGCTTCCCAGCTGCTGTGATTGGAACCAGGCTGCATGCGGCAGTGGCCATCGCTTGCGTTGTAATGGCCTTTTATGTTCTGTTTATAAAATGAATTCCAAAGCATCCAGCTCATCAACTGCCAACCAAGGTGACAGGAGTGAAGAACTGTCAGGGGCCCAGTATAGCCGAATTCAGCTAAAATCATCAAAGTCCCCAGGATGATACCACAGCATCTACCCCTACCACATGTGGGGAAAACTCCTCATGGTCATAAACATTGTTTATGCTTCAGGGGACTCCAGAAAGCCACTTCTTTTGATTTATATGTAACTCAGTCCTTGGCAGAGAGTATATGATGTCCAGATAAATTGCAAGATAAGGTTGCATTCCTCCTGTGTATTGTGTTCTTCAATCCCTCATCAGGATCTTTTCATATCGAGACTCAGTAGGGAAGAATATAGACTGTGTTCAGACCACTTGGAAGGAGATAATTTTCAAGACTTGACTTTTTTTCTTCCTCTTTTGCACTTGGCAAATTGGGAATGTGGGAGAGGCCTGAGTGCAATGCCAGGGAATTGTTTGGCTTTGGAGAATTATCTTTCCTATACCCATCTGGGAACATAAGAGAGAGACAAGGCCCTCATTGCAAAAAGAGAACAGATGAAATAGCTGTGCTGTATGCTGATAGCTCGGGAGGTTTGCCAAGAGAACCTGGGCCTACATAAGATTTGAGAAATTGCAATTCGTACATGATCAGACCAGAATACAGTGACTTAAGTTTTGTTTTTTTTTTTCTGTTCAACAGTATTCTCAAATGGAAACTTCACGCTGTTAAATGATGTATGGAGAATGACTCAACTGTTGCTATTTTCCTAAAGCCTTTTTATATTTTCTAAATTACTTGTGCTAAACACTGTTACTCAAGCAGTTTTACTCCACTAGGGGAAAGAGAAGCTATTTGAAGAAATAATTGTTTAATATATTTGCAGTTAGGGTAGAAGAAATAAATCTAGTGTATTAATTCATATACTAGTAAATTCATCTAGTGTAAGAATTTATTATGATATTAGATGGATGTTTTGTCATGTTATCTAAGATGCAAACTTTTTCTTTGGTTGAATATGGATTGTTCTGGCAATTTTTAGTTGATTACTTGTTTTTTCCTGGCCAACTCTTAATTTTCCTCATATTGCAGTACTTTTTAGCTGTTTCTTGGAAATTCTCTTTACTATAAGAAGTTAAGAAATGTCAGTGGGTGAGAGAAGTTGCTGATACTCCTAGGCATATTTGGACAGGCCATAGAAAGCATGAATGAAATAAGAGTATCTTCATGTTTTCTAAAGTAAAGGAGAACGGATCTGCAGTGGAGACTAATGGACTGTTTTAGGAGACATGGTAACTTCTGAGGCAAATCATTTTAGATGACCCAACATTTGAAGGGAAGAATCTCCATTCCTTCATACTCATATTTGTAAAAGGATCAACCATTATATTTATGAAGCCTAGAGTTTCTCTGTTCAAAGAGAGAGAATAAGTAGATTTAAAAATTTTTGTAAAGAGACGAATAGACATAGGCATACTAGTTAAATTGCCCACAGAGAAAACTAAAGGGAGTTTATCCCTGAATTCTCTGTGGACAAGTTAGCTGTGGTTGACCTCTATGTAGCAGTGAATTATGTCTTTTTGTCCACCGACTACAAAAGAACAAAAGCTGCTAAGTTGTTTAAGTTCTGAAATCGCAATTTAGTGCTCTGCGGGTTTCTGGAAGTCTTAGAAAGTCACGAAGTAAACACTACACGTCTACTCATCTCAAGAGTTGTGGCTGTTGTCCCTTCAGGAATTGGTCCACAGGGTAAATTTCAGCTTGTTTTCTGTGATCATTTCTGAGGATCTTTCATTTGGAGTACAGAAGTCTAGGGGAACCAGAAAGAAAGAGTTATACCTGGTGGGTGTGAATTTGGAACCTGTGGACCAAAGGGAAAGTCGGGAAGGTCGCTCCTTGAAAACAGGTTCAGCATGTTTTGCACTTGTTACTTTGTAGCTTTAATGACTTTTGTTTTTTAATAGGGCTAATGTCTCTAAGCTTGATGCTTAGAGCTGCTTTGTATTTTAAACTAGTTCCATTTCTCAAGTTCATAACAATTTGTATAGCCTTCTGGATGGGTCATCTTGATCTAAACTCTTGAATTATTTTATTTTGAGATGTTTTCATACCAGAATGTACCAAAAAGTGCACAGGGTGAAGATGATTTGCAACAAGAAACAAATAGCTTAATTTCATTTTTTTTTACTTTATGTAAGCAGATAAGAAACTCATTTAATTTGTTATTTTGGTTGATGTGTCTTAGACATTTTCATTAAAAATTGTAGGAAATTGTTCTCTGGGGAATCTTTTAGAGATAAAGGAATGAGGGGTAGCAATATTGCCTCAGATTCAAACAGGCATCACCATAAACCCTATACATTAGGGTGGAATGAAGTCAGTTCCTTTTTTATAGTTGAAATACAATTTTTTATTCACCATTGTCTGCACAAATCCTTGAAAATAAAATTTCTTTCCCTACAGTATTTGTCCATTTTATTTGTCACGTGCTGAATTTATGGACCCTTTTTAATACTCCCCTGGGTTCTGCCCATAGCCTACTTTTCAGTTAACATCAGTGAATGCCATCATTACTATTAACTCCTTGTGGTTACAATATGGTTCAGAATCTGTGAGGCCTGACCTCTGCCTTCTTGTGTACACACGTACACACACACACGAGAGGCCTTCAAAAAGTTCATTGAAATTTTGAATTAAAAGATGAAAAATAAACTTTATTTCTCAACATAAGATCCATCAAGATCAAGACACTTCTGTAAGCAACACCACCAGCCATTAGTACGATCTTCCTCTTTCTCAGTGACCCTTTACCAAGCATGATATACTTTTCCAGGGACTGGTCCCCCCTGACATGTCCAAAGTACATGAGACGAAGTTTTTCCATCCTCACTTCTAAAGGAGCATTCTGGTTATAATTCTTCCAAGACAGACTTGTTTGTTCTTCTGGCAGTCCATGTACTTTGAATATCCTTCAACACCATAATTCAAATGCACGGATTCATCTCCAGTTTTCTTTATTCATTATCCAGCTCTCACATGCATATGTTGTTGTTGTTGCTAAGTGTCATCTAGTCAGGATCCGACTCATAGTGACCCTGTGCAGGGTTTCCAAGGAGCAGCTGGTGATCATATGGAACCCTTGAAATAGTTGAATATTGACCAATTATTTTTGGTATACTGTGATCAGGAACAATGGTATTGAAGGAGGAAGTCCAAGTTTCACTGAAGGCGTTAATGAAAAGACTCTAGGAATTGACAGAATACCAATTAAAATGTTTAAACAAACTGCTGCAACAGCATTGGAAGCACTCACTAGTCTATGTCAAGAAATTAGGAAGACAGCTTCTTGGCCAACCAACTGGAAGAGATCCATATTTTTATTCCCTCCATCTTCTTTTGATGCTTCCTGCTTTGTTTCAATATTTTGTCCATCAAATGCTTGTAATTTAATACTTGATTTTTCACTTCATTCAGTTTGAGAAATGCTGAACTTGTTCTTCCCATTTGTTTTTTTTTTTAACTCCAGGTTTTTATACATTTCATTCACTATATTACTTTACTTTGTCATCTGAAGCTGCCCTTTGAAATTTTCTGTTCAACACTTTTACTTCTTCATTTCTTCCATTTGCTTTACCATTTCTACACTGGAGGAAAAGCTTCAGAGTCTTTTCTGACATCTATTTTGGTCTTTTCCTTCTTTTCTGTCTTAATAGCCATTAGATTTCTTCCTATATGATGTTTTTGATGGCATCCCACAACTCTTCTGGTCTTTGGTCATTAGTGTCTAATTCATCAAATCTATTCTTCAGATGATCTCTAAATTCATGCGGGGTATTTTCAAGGTCATATTTTGGCTCTTGAGGACTAGTTTTAATTTTCTTCAACTTCAGCCTGAATTTGCTTATGAGCAATTGATAGGCTTTCTATAGTCTGTCCGTGACCTTGTTTTGGCTGATGACATGCAGCTTTCCCACCATCTCTTTCCATAGATGTAGTCAATTTGATTCCTTTGTATTCTGTCTGTTGAGGTCCATGTGTATAGTTGCCTTTTATGTTGTTTAAGAAGGTATTTGAAATGAACAAGTCATTGGTCTTGCAAAATTCCATTATGTGATCTCCAATATCATTTCTGTCACCAAGTCTGTATTTTTAAATTATCGACCCTTACTCTTTGTTTCCAACCTGTGCATTTCAATCACCAGTAATTATCAACACATCTTGATTGCATACTTGATCAACTTCACACTGAAGAAGCTGGTAGAAGTTTTCAATTTCGTCATCACTGGTTTTAGTGGTTGGTACATAGATTTGAATAGTGATATTAACTAGTATTCCTTGTAGACATATGGATATTATGCTATCACAGACAGCATAATACTTCAAGATGGATCTTGAAATGTTCTTTTTGATGATGAATGTGACACAATTTCTCTTCAGTTTCTCATTCCCAGCATAGTAAACCATATGATTGTCAGATTCAAAATAGCCAATACCAGTCCATTTCAGCTCACTAATGCTTAAGATGGAGTCCTGGTGTGGCACTGTGGGTTAATGCGCCAGACTGCAAAGCTGTTTGAACTGCAAGGTTGGAGGAGGTTCAAGTTCACCAGTCGCTCCTTGGAAACACTACACTGGGTCGCTATGGGTCGGAACCGACTCAACGGCACTTAACAACAACAGCAATGCTTAAGATATCTTTTTGTTTCATTTCATTTTAAAAAACTTTTTTATTGTGAATTGAGTAAAGGTTAACAGACAAGATCATCAGCTTTGCTTCCAACAAACAAATCATTCATTTTGTTTTATATAAATGATTACAATCCCCTCTCTGCAACAACAATTATCCATCTTCCTCCCTATGGCTTCCCTTTTACATCTTACTTCTCACAAATATTTAAATGTCCAAAGGGCACATTTTACAAGCCAGCTTCCCATCTACAGGCACACAGCCTTTCTCAGCCCATGGGCCTAGAATCCGTAGCTGCTCTATCTATCCATGCCATCACCTCTGCCACAGTCTCAGCCGTCTCTGCTTTTCTACGTAGGATCTCATGCTCCACTCATGCTCTTCCTTCTTGATGGTCCTGGGATCCTCTGTTCCTGAGATGAAAGACTAACCAACTACTCCCTCCTTTTAGTTATACATCTTCTACAATTACAATTGTGACTATCATAATTAATACTGCTAACAATAACAACTGAATCTTAAAATCCTATCACCATCATCCCCTTTCACCAAATCCATCCAGAAAAGAGGGAAACTATTCAATGGAGAGTCGACATTTCCCAAC